GCGAAAAGAAATTTTATAATTACCTAAATTTAAAATTATTTTCACATTGAAACTAGCTTTATTTAAGGATTTTTTCACACTTGAAAACCCTAAGTCAACCTCGATTTGAGGTTTTTATATAGAAGGTTGTTTTCTAAGGTATTGTAATGTACGTAGAATAGAGCAGATTGTCCAAGTTCTTGTTTTAAGGTTAGAAGGTTTACACGTAAACCGCATGGCAAACCATTTTAGGTTTACGTTAAAAGTTTTTTACTGAGTGAAAATAAACCTTATTTGGCTATCTGGGTCACTAACGATGAGATTAAATTTTCTAATACATGAAAAAATTCTGTCTATGTAGACTTTGCTGTAGACACACTGATGTTTAAAAAAGTAACAGAGAGTGGATTTCTAGATCATAACCCTTCTGAATATAATTTTTTCAGTATGATCCATATTGTATCAAAAACATTTTTAATTTTTTTTTTCCTTTTGTAGGAAATTTTCACTTAATATTCGAATTTATGGATTATATTTTGGAAAATAACGGCCCAGTTATGGTGGACTGCTTTATTACTATCAGGTACTTAAAATATATTGTACTCTATCTTTACCCTGTTAGTACGCTTTCTAGGTTTCCAATAATAATTTACTTAAAACGCACAATATTCGAAAAGTATTGAAATTCCTAAATATCTCAAGGAACGCACATCGGAGCAAAGAACTGAAAATACGCATCATATCAAACACTTGTACATCTGGTTAAAAGTATACTAATACGCATCGGATAAAATATCTGAAAATATACATCGGGTCAAAAATGTACTAATGCACATTGGATAAAAAAAAAATCTAAAAATGCGCATCAGATCAAAATTATAAAAATAAACCAGTGAAATATATTTAAACAATGTACTCAATGATACCAAACTCGACCTCAAAATCTCAGGTCAAGAGATAGCAATTTCAAAATTTTAAATAAGAACCGTCATTTTGGTATCAGAATTTTGAAAATATTTCACGTGATTTAGTTTTAAAATTCTTGACGTTTGACTGTTTCCATATTATCAATCACCCTGTATGCTCTTCAGGAGCAATGTCAAAAATTTATTTTCTCTCCTGTTCATTTAATCAATATGAATCAAAAGTTTAATTTTGATCAATGTTTTAATTAATATCAAGATTTTCTCCGAATTAAACAATATCACGCTTTGAATTATGATTTGGAGTGCAAGAAGGAATACTCGTATTAACGCTTATTTTCAGACAGAGTAGACTAAAGAGTACTTTACTTTATCAAAAAATTCTACAAAAATACACAACTGAGAAACATTGACATATTTCAATCTTTAGAGATCGAAAGCTTTGTGACAGACTTAAGGACAAAATTTTAAGGATTTGTAACTTTTAACAATTTTTTTATTAACAGTTTACATAATTTTTC